CTGCTGCGCCTGTATATTGGGGAGCAACAAGCTTTTGGCGCCGTTGCCGGGGACTTAGAAATTGATTTATATTCGATCTTTTTAAGTCTTTAATTAAAATATTCAGGTTTTAATTACTTGATCTTAGCTTGTTTATTGCAGGCGGTTGACTCTTAAGTCTTGCTCAGAAAGGAGAACTTGTCGAACCAGAAAACGAACCCGAAAGAGCTCTACATTGACGCAAGAATGGCTAATCAAGGTCGTCATGGAGAATTGGTGTTAGATCTTTGTGGACAATGAGGATAATAACCAAGACAACGCGAACAACCAAGGGAACTTGAATAACCAAGTGGTACACCCTTTCGTACCAGCAAGACCAGTCCGTGATGTGGCAGTCCCACTCACAGCCAATGTGCATCTAGCATTAGGAAACCTCCACCAAGGGGTAGATTTGAACTAAAACATGGCATGGTACAACTCATCCATGCTAGTGGGCAATTCACTGGTCTCCCCCACAAGGATTCCCAAATCCACCTTAGGAACTTTATAGAGATTAGTGATACATACATCCCAAATGGAGTCTCATCGGACTATGTGAGGCTGACGTTGTTCCCATACTCATTGTTAGGAGCCGCAAGGCATTAGTTAGATTCTGAGCCACTAAACTCCATCACTACTTGGGATTAGCTAGCAAATAATTTCTTGAGTCGATTCTTTCCATCCAAGAAAACCGCACGGTTGAGGAGTGAGATATTAAGCTTTAAGAAAAACTCGGGGGAGGACATGTACCAAACATGGGCTCGTTTTAAACAAATGTTGAATGCCTGCCCTCATCACATGCATACTAATGAGGTACTTGCTCACACTTTCTTTGAGGGTTTAGATTATAATGCACATGCACTTCTTAATAGTGCAGTAGGTGGACAAGCCCTAGCAAAAACCTGTGAAGAGTTATTCGACTTAATCGATAGACTCTCAGAAGGAATCCCAGGGTATGAGGGGGAAATGCCTAGAACCACAACCCAAAGGGCCGCGGGAGTCCTAGATGTAGATCAAGCCACTACCATAAATGCCAAACTGGATGCGATGCAGCATAATATAGCCATGCATTTCAAACAGATGTCCTTAAATCAAGCACCGATTAACATGGTACAACATGCATCCAAATGGTGTGGGGTATGTGGTAGTGGAGCTCATGAAATCGAGCAATGTGAGGCAAACCCGGATTCCGTAAACTATGTGGGTAATGTGCACATGGGTGTAGGTCAGTAAAATTATGGTAATGCCTATAACTCTAGTTAGAGGAACCATCCTAACTTCTCATGGGGTGGGAACCAAAATCAAGTGCAAGGGGTTAACCAATACCGTTCTCAAGGGGCTGGCCAACCATACCAAAATCCTAACCAAGGCGCAAATCCTAATGAACTAAAAGGGGGGATGACCAATGAGGAGCTACTCAAAAAGCTCATGACTGAAATAGGGACAAAAATAAATGCTAGGATAGATAAGAAGGATGAGAACATCAGAAACATCCAAATGACCCAAATTAGTTTAGAGAAACAAGTTGTGGAAGTAGCTAATTCTCTGAACTTGCGTCCTCAAGGTGGGCTGCCCAGTGATACTGAACCTAACCCCAAGCAACTAAATGTGGTGAGTACTCGAAGTGGGTTACAACTAGAGGAACTAGCTCCAAATAAGAGAGATACTAAGGCAGGTACTAAAGAAAAGAAAGTGGAAGTGGTAGTAAAGAGGTCCAATGTTGAGACACCCGTTCCTCAAAAGAAACTACCCCTTCTGTTTCCACAAAGGCTGAGAAAGTAGAATGAGGATGAATGCTTCGGTAAGTTTCTCTCTCTCCTCAAACAGGTTCACATTAATCTGCCTTTGGTTGACATTTTGCAGGGTATCGTGAAGTATGCTAAATACATGAAGGAGATAGTGGCTAACATCAAGAGGCTCACGGAGTATGAAACTGTAGCACTTACTGAGGAGTGCAGCTCCAAAATCCAAAATAGGCTGCCCAAAAAGTTAAAAGATCCGAGTAGTTTTACTGTGCAGATTACAATTGGGCAAAGTGTTCATGCCCGGGGGTTGTGTGATTTGGAGGCAAGTATAAATCTGATGCCCTTGTAGCTGTATTAAAAGTTTGGGTTGGGTATTCCAAAGAGAACCACTGTCATTCTCCAACTCGCTGATAGATCCATTACTAGGTCAGAGGGGGTGGTAGAAGATGTTTTAGTTCAAGTAAGTTCCTTGATTTTCCTAGTAGATTTTGTGGTCTTAGAATTTGAATCCGATTATGAAATTCCATTCATTTTGGGACGTTCGTTCTTGGCCACAGGTAGGGCATTAATTGATGTAGCAGCTGGGCAATTAACTATGAGGGCACATGATAAGGTTGAGGTATTTGATGTTTACCACGCCTTAAAATTGCCTTCTATCTATGAAGAGTTGTTTGCTACTACGGTGGTAGATCTCATAGTAGAATCGGAGTTAGTTGTGCCCGAAGATCCCTTAGAAAGAGTGTTAGTGAGCCATGAGGTGGATGGAGACACTGATGCCCTAGAGATAGAGACGTGTTTAAATCTATCACTCATGTAGACTTACAGGTATATAGTGGAGCCATTAGATCGTGAATTAGCGCCTCCACCCAAACCCTCAATCGAAGAAGCTCCCAAGTTGGAACTGAAAACATTGCCTGCTCACCTAAGGTATGCTTATTTGGGTACTAACAAAACTTTGCCTGTTATACTTTCTGCAGAGTTGTTTGAAATACAGGTTGAGGCAACATTGAGGATCTGAAAGTGGAGGAAGAAGGCGATTCGATAGAAGATGGCTGATATTCATTGGATTAGTCCGGCGTTATGTATGCACAAAATCTACATGGAAAATGATCACAAACCAAGTGTACAACATCAACGTTGGCTAAATCCTTTGATGAAAGAAGTGGTGAGAAAGGAAGTAATAAAGTGGCTAGATGCTGGAATTGTGTACCCGATCTCTGATAGTAAGTGGGTATGTCCGGTGCAATGTGTTCCCAATAAGGGAGGTATGACAGTGGTAAGAAACAAAAAGAATGAGTTGATTCCTACTAGAACAGTGACTGGTGGAGAATTTGTATGGATTACCAGAAACTAAATGATGCCACCCAGAAAGATCACTACCCGATTCCCTTCTTTGATCAGATGCTTGACTGATTAGCAGGGCAGGAGTACTATTGTTTGTTAGATGGGTATTCAGTTATAACAAGATATTAATTGCACTCGAGGATCAGGAAAAGACCACGTTCACTTGTCGTTATGGTACATATGCTTTCAAACGCATGCCATTTAGACTTTGCAATGCACCGACGACTTTTCAAAGGTGTATGATGGCCATTTTTCATTATATGGTGGAAGACTTTGTAGAGGTGTTCATGGATGATTTCTCCGTCTTCGGAAAGTCTTTTAAGGTATGTCTCCAGAATCTTCATAAGGTACTTGCTAGGTATGAGGACACTAACTTAGTGCTAAACTGGGAAAAATATCATTTTTGGGTTAGAGAGGGGATAGTGTTGGGACACAAGGTGTCTTAGTCACGTTTAGAGGTTGATAAAGCCAAGGTAGAAGTTATTGAAAAATTGCCCCCTCCCATTTCTGTAAAAGGGGTAGGAAGTTTCCTTGGTCATGTAGGTTTTTACCGGAGATTCATCAAGGATTTCTCCAAGATTGCAAGACCTATGTGCAGTCTTTTGGAGAAGGAGGTGAAATTTTATTTTGATGAGATGTGCTTGAAAGCTTTTGAGATGTTAAAGAGGAACTTAATTGAGGCTCCCATCTTAATTGCTCCTAATTGGTAAGTACCATTTGAACTTATGTGTGATGCAAGTGACGTAGCAGTGGGTGCAGTGTTGGGACAAAGAAAAAATAAAGTGTTCCACTCGATCTATTATGCTAGCAAGACCCTGGATTCTGCACAAGCTAATTACACAGTGACTGAAAAGGAGATGCTAGCTGTAGTGTTTGCCTTCGACAAGTTCAGATCGTATTTGGTTGGTACTAAAGATATTGTTTTTACTGACTATGCATCTATTAGGTACCTATTCAACAAGAAGGATGCAAAACCAAGGCTGATTCGGTGGATATTGCTTCTCCAAGAATTTGACCTTAAGATTAAGTATTGGAAAGGTACTAAAAATCAAATAGTTGATCACTTGTCTAGGTTGGAGGATTTTTCCATGTGCATGAAGGTGAAGAAATCCGGGAAGAGTTTTCGGATGAACAATTGATGGAACTAGATATCTCTCAAGTGACTTGGTATGCGGACATTGTGAATCTGATTGTTAGTGGAGATTACCCCTCGGGTGCAACCACCCAACAAAAGAAAAAGCTCAATCATGATGCTAAGTTCTATATCTCGGATGAGCCGTTCTTGCTCAAGCAACGTATCGATCGGGTGGTGAGAAGATGCATTCCGGAGTCTGAGGTTCGTAAAGTGTTTGAAAGTTGTCATGCTAGCCCATATGGACGACACCATAGAGGAGAGCGTACGAGGGACAAGGTACTACAATCTGGTTTCTTTTGGCCCTCATTATTTAGAGACTCTATTGCTTTTGTGAAGGGTTGTGATAAATGCCAAAGGTTGGATACTATTTAAAGAAGACATCAGATGCCGCTAAGTAACATTTTGGAGGTGGAAATTTTTGACGTGTGGGGTATTGACTTCATGGGTCCTTCCCGCCATCTAGTGGAAACCAATACATTCTTGTGGTTGTGGATTATGTGAGTAAATGGGTTGAGGTTGTCGCTCTTACTTCGAATGACGCAAGGGTTGTGATCAAGTTCATCAAGAAGTACATCTTTACTCGCTTTGGCACTCCAAGGGTAATCATAAGTGATAGAGGTAAGCATTTCATTAACCGTCTAGTGAATAATCTTCTTGCTAAGTATGGTATTCTTCATAAGGTTGCTACAACTTACCATCCTCAAACGAGTGGCCAAGTGGAAGTTTCAAATAGAGAGGTAAAGTAAATTTTGCAAAAAATGGTGAATGCGCAGAGGAAGGATTGGTCTGAGAAGTTAGACGATGCATTGTGGGCGTATAGGACTGTTTATAAGACACCCATAGGGTCTTCTCCCTATCACATAGTATTTGGTAAATCATGTCATCTTCCGGTGGAATTAGAACACCAAGCTTTTTGGGCAATTAAGAGATTGAATTTGGACCCTGAGCTGGCCAGTAGAAAGAGAATGAATCAATTGCACAAACTTGAGGAATTTAGGCTCCACACATATGAGAATGCCAAGCTTTACAAAGAAAAGATTAAAAGGTGGCATGACAAGCACATAGTTACTCGTACTTTCACTCCGGGAGAAAATGTACTACTCTTTAACTCTAGATTAAGGTTATTCCTCAGAAAACTATGGTCTAAATGAAGTGGTCCTTTGGAAGTGGTAAGAATGACACAACATGGGGCTGTTGAACTTAGAGGTGAGACTGATCTTACACTCTTAGTAAATGGGCAAAGGGTAAAACACTACTTTGGTGTAGATTCAGATCGTGATCTGGAGGCTCTTGAGCTAAATGATGAATGATCCAAGCTGCGTCATGCCGCGACGTTAAATCAAGCGCTACACGGGAGGCAACTTGTGAACAATATGTAATAGATAGGTAGTTCGTTTTTGATTTTTTTTTGTTTTAGCGTAGTTTCAATTCTTAGAATCTAGGAAGTATTCTTATTTATTAGTTTTAGCTAGATAGGATTTTTTCATTTATTTGTAACTTAGTTTGTAATAGTGAAAAATGAAAAAAAAATAAAAAAATAAAAAAATAAAAAATATCTGAAGCCAGGCGCACTGGTAGGTGCGCCGCTCCTGGCATGATAATTCAGAGAAGTTCTTGGGGTGCTACGCTGGCACGTCACCCCTCCATCGTGCCCCAACCCAGATCTCTACTGAAGCTAGGCACACTGACTAGCACGCCACACATGAGTTGAACTTCAGAGTGCCTATCCAAGAGCCTTAGAGGCGCGATCCCCCTATCAGCCCAACACCCAGATTCACGATTGGTCGACCCAAATTGGGTTCGACCCGACCCAAACCCATCCTTTTAAACCCCTAACACTAAATTCATCCCTCATTATCCTAAAATCCACCGCCCCAACCCCTAAATCCTCTCAAACTTCTTCTTCCTCTTAATCTCTTCCTCTCCCTACAACCTCCATTAACACCCACCCAAACTCTTCCTTTCCCCCACACCAACATTTCTTCTTACTATTTTCTCCCATAAATCACCCATCTTCAACTTTTCTACCTTCCCCAACTCTCTCTCTCACTCTAATTTTTTTTTTCTCTTTCCTTCTCCACCCACACAGCCAACAGCCGACCCCCTTCTAATTTTTTTCTTTTGTTCTATTTTTCTTCTTCACATGTGGTGATGGTTCCTAAAGCTAAAAATGTAGCGGTTTAGAAGCACATTAGGAAGGGAGAAACATCTGGGTCCGCTAGTGGCCGGGAACCAGTCAGGAAATTAGGAAAGAAGGCAGTGGAAAGGTATGGCTGGGAGTGGTTTGAGCGTCAGTGAGAGGCTAAGTATATGGGCGACGAGTATGTCAATGAGGTAAGATTGCAGTCCCAATTTCTTATTATTTATCCTACTGTGATCGATTTGGGGTTGAGGTTTATTTTTGAGAATCTCAAAGATTGTAATATGTCCTTAGTTCGGGAGTTTTATGCAAATTGGCTTACTTATATAGGTCGAATAAGTCTATGTCGGTGAGGGTCGGGATGTTAAATTCACTTCTCAGATACTAAATGAGTTCTTAGGTACCCCGAATTGTGACGCTGATGATATTAATAGATTGAAGGATAAACCTCCTTATAGGGATATTCGACATACGTTGTGTGGGGTGTAGTTGACTGCTAGGTGGGAGCAAAGTAAGGATACTGGGAGGTATTCAACCCTCCACTTTGCTAATTTTAATCATGTAGCCCGGGTGTGGTTGAAAATAGTTTGTAGTGTGTTGTGGCCCGTTAAACGTCTTACAGAGGTGACGCGTGATAGGGTGGTACTAGTCTATATGTTGATGAATAAGATGCCCATTAATGTTTGGGCAATTCAGAGGAAAAATATGATGAAGTTTCAAAGTAATTTGAGGTGGAGGTTTTGTTATGGGGGGTTGATTACCCATTTTCTGAGGGCAGAGGGTTTTGAAGAAGAAGAGGTAGGCTTGATTGTTGCTTTCCACCCCGATTTGACGGGTAAGATAGTTTATGTGACTAGGACAAAGGCACTGGACACATCCCATGGACCTGTCTTGTCAGCCCACGAGAGGCAAGCCTGAGATGATAGTGTTATGGCTAAGATGTTTGGCATGGCAGAATTGCAGCTGTGGATAGGAGGACGTCCGATCACTGATGATGAGATGGAGACCTTGTCGGATCTCTACCCTTTGACTGAGAGTGCAACTTTTCAATGCAGGACTGGTCCTGCTTTTCTTGAGCCTCTGGATGATGATGAGGCTACTCTTGATGAAGAGATGAACGAGGATGATGATGATGTTCATGAGGAGGTGAATTCCTTAATGGTTTTTGATGGTGGTGACGACGAGGCCTAGAGGCCCGAGGGAGTATTCCTATCTCTATACTTTGTTTTATTTGTGCACTGAGGACAATGCTTATTTTTAAGTGTGGGGTGGGTAATATATCTCTTTTGTAAATATATGTTTAATGCTTTATCGAGTCTAGCTTTAGTTCTAAGTTTAGTTTTTAGTTTTAGGCTTAAATTTTTAATTTTTCTTATTTTGGGTTCCTTAGCATTTGTTTTCGATACTTTTACTGAGGATAGTCCCTTTGAACCGACTAGGACTAGTTTTACTGCTTTATTGAGTCTTAGAGTCGTCATAAGAGTGACAGTTCCCAATAATGGATGGATGATGACCGTCTTAAGGGAAAATTAGTCACATGGAAGAGTAGGATTGAGAAACCAACCTTGGTCTTTTGAAACTATGTCCGAATAAGTTATCCAGACGTCATGGGTAGTCATAATTGGAAAAGTGAAATAAGAATGTTAACCTTGAAACAAGCATGTTTTCTTAGTTGTGAATCTAAATTAAAAAATAAATGGGCTTAATTGTGTAGTAATACCGTAATTCAAGATGTATGAGCATGTTAGTTGATATATCCTTATATGTGTCATGATGCCTTGTATGGTGAGTGTTGTTGGGTTCTTAATTCAATTGAAATCTAGAACTTGCCTTGTGTGTGTTGAATTAGTGGCTTGTATGACTTAGGGAATGTGATTGAGGCGTTTCTTTCAGAAAGCCAATTATTGACTCGAATTGTATGCCTACCATTGAAATTATCACTAGTGAAGCCCCATTGAGCCCTTAGCTTTGTTTGTTGATAAGCCACGTGATAAGACGAAACCCATTTGTTTGATACCAAAGTCTTTTGATCCTAACAAAATCCTTAATGCACTATGTTAAGAAGAAGGGTTGAAAATATTGGTTGATATGAGAAAGGGTGAAATGCTAAATTATGTGGAAAAGAAAAGAATAAGTGAAACTGTGTTTTGCCCCTGGTCCTTAGTGACATTGTGCACCTCAACGCAATTGAGGGTGGCTATTTCAGAAATATGCTCTAAACATTGGCCCTGGTCCTATCAAGGATATTGTGTACCTCAATCGGACCTTAAAAATCTAGGGTGAGGGTGGTTAGTGCAAAGGCATGAAAAAAAGAAGAAATAAAGGGCAAAGATGGAGTAACAAAAGGGGTAAATATTCATGAAGTGTGTACTAGGAGGAAAGAAAAGCTAAGTGGGAGGTTTGTTGGCAAAATAGTGACATGTGCATTAGGGAGGTGTAGTCACTAAAATGATTCCTAAATATTCCCTCCCTTACCCGAAGCCAACATTACAACCAAATAAAATACCTCTTGATTCCTTGAGAAATACATTGTGAAAGTGAGAATACACTATTGGCAAGCTTATGGCATGTTGAGAAAAGTAAGAACTTCATTTTTGAGGTGTCTTGTTTGAAAAATAGGCCTTGTTATTGTGATTGCTTGAGTGAAAGGCTTTACTAAACGCAAATAAGTGAGGGCATTCATGGCATGTGTCCAGATTATCAATTGGTATGTTTGTATGAGTTTGCATTAGCTCGTAAAAATAGTAAAAGAGTCATTCTTTGAGCACATGTGTTGTAACTTTGTGTAAATGTTTTGAAATATTGCATCCATTGTGAACTACAAGATCATGATTAAAAATGTTTGGTTAATTTTAAGGTGGGTTGATAAGTCCAAGGGATATGAAAAAGAGTTGATAGTCTAAAGATTGTTTGAGGACAAACAAAGGTTTAAGTGTGGGGTGGTGATCTTAGGCGTATTTATATGCCTAAGTTGTCGATATTTGCCCATCTTTGGATCGAATTAAAGAGTGATTTAAGACTATTAACTTAATTTTGTTAACTCGTGATGATTGTACACAAAAACATATGATTAGTTGTTTCATGAACTTTTGAGGGATTTGGAGAAGAGGAAGCAAAGAGGAGAAGAAAAATGGCTAAGGCAAGAACCACCAGTTGTTGGCACACTGCTAGGCGCGGCGTGCCAAGGTGAAGAATTCAGAGGTGACTGCTAGGCGCGATACGAGGCGCGACACGCCACGAAGGTTCCAACTTTTTCAGTTAAAGAAGCTTAAAATAGGACTCCTAGTTGTAGTAGACTTCGACTCTATTGTTTCCAACTATTAGAAATAGACCCTTAGGGATCCATTGTTAGGGTTCGACTTTTTAATTGGTGTGCAAGAGAAAGTTTCATCGTTTATAATAGGTTTCGATCTTCTAACTCTTCTATTTTCCAGAAATCACATGATTAATTGTATTTTGTGGTTTTCTAATAGCATGAGTGGCTAAACGCCTTAGTTCTTGGGTTGTAGCTACGAATCGATTGTTGATTATTTAAAGGCCTTTTGAATTAATAATTGGTTGTCATTATAAGTTACTTCTATATTCTTGTTTTAGTATTTTATGCTCGATCACTATAAGATAAATCTATTTTCTAATCTTAAAATTGAGAGAGGAGGGGTTAGATAGACTAGAAAATATAGAGAGCTCGATCGACTCATTTGATTGAGGTGATTTGTTTTAAGGAGTAACGCCCGGATGAACAACTTGCTTGGTTACGAAACATGATGAAATATAAATGCTCACCAGTTAGGAACATTTATCCCCACTCAATGATATAGTTAGACTACCAACTGGAGTAGGCGACTAGAGGTTTGATACCCGACCCATACAATTAACTTTGTAAACCAGTAACTTGACAACTAAACTTAGTTCGAAGCCGAGAATATGATACATGAGATTCATTACATGCTGCTGCCTTGGAATTGTCTTTTAATTGCTTTAAACATCATCTTAAAGTCCTTCAATCATTGTTACTTTTATTTCTTGCATAATTCGTAGTAGTAGTTAACAATTATCACCATCTCTGAAAATGGTTATTTTAATTTTATTTGTAGAGTTGAGTGTCAAATTTAAGTTGATCATAAGTCCCTTGGGAATGATAACTTATTTCTTTAGGAATCTATATTACTT